CCTGAGCCCTAAACTCCTAAACCCCTAAGCCCTAAACCCCTAAACCCTTCGGCACGTTGGCAAGGAGTTCGGCAGCTCAGATCTTGGACAGGACCACGCCTGCCGTTGCTTCAGACCTACTCCTAAACGCTAAACTCTTAAACTCTAAACCCTAACCCTAAGGGTCCAAGGACCCAAATAATAGGGTTTTAGGGCCCAAATATTATAATAATAAAGGTATTTGGGCCCTAAAACCCTATTATTTGGGTCCTTGGACCCTTAAACTCTTAAACTCTAAACCCTAAGTCTTTACAAGAAGACCCCCTGAAGCCTGAACTCTAGACCTGTAGAGCAGGCGGTACCAAAAAATCCAAACCAGAAGGGTAGCTTCAGGGTTCGGGGTCCAGGGCTTGGGGTTTAGGGTTTAAGGCTTTTGATTTCTACAATTCGTGCTATGGGTGTAGGGCTGTGGGCTAAGAAGACATATTTCGCACATGTGCTTACAGCATGGTCTCTTCTGAACCCTAAACCCCTAAACCCTAAACAATAAAACCCTAAACCCTAAGAAGCTTAGGGAAAGGCACAGTCACCACCTTGGACGATGAAGCGCTCGCCTCTGCCTGCCTGCCCACGAACATGCACACAGTAAAGGAAGGGGACAGGGTTTAGGGTTTAGGGTTTAGGATTTGGGGTTTAGGGTTTAGACACGCGCATCGCACAGGTTTAGGGTGTAGGGTTTAGGATTTAGGGTTCAGGGTTTAGGGTTTAGGGGCGGCAGGGGATGTGCGGTCGGAGGCGGGGGAGTCATGGCTCATCCTACTGCAGCCAGGGTGTCAGCAGCCTATCTCATAACCTGGCAGCTTCCTACAATAATAGTAATAGTAATAGCCATCATGTTATTGGGAATATTAAGAAATATTAGCTACTAGAAAAATATGAATAGTAGGAATGCCAATCCTATTCACAGGAATAGTAGGATCTCTGAGGTGGGCCTCGGCCAGCAGCGCCTTGAGGCGTTCGCACTCCTTGGGCTGCACCTGCAACATGCTCATAATGAGAGTAATGGTAATAATGATAACCATAATAATAGTACGAGTAAGAGCATGGAGTGCCTGCTGTCGGAGTTGCGACTTCTTGGGTGAACTAATTGGGCAAGAAATTAAAGCGAACCGCAGCCAGTGTTACAATGCTTTTTTGAAGCATGGATTGAGGTCGCTGTAAGCATCTCTGCACGATGCCGCATCGACAATCAAATCAATGCACTTGCAGCGTTGCTTTGCGCAAGACGCACGACCAATCAGGTGTGCAAGCCCCTCAACCCGCTACTTCTGGGTTGGCCCCTAGAACCGTTTGAAAAATGTTAGTATATAGGGTCCCTTATCAAAGCCATTAGGGAAAATATTAAACATCCAAGGGGCCTACCCAGACTTGCACAAGAAAGCGAGTGTTCCCAAGGTGTGGGCTAATGGCGGCAGCTTGCCAAGTTTGTTAAAGACCTTCACAGGCATGTCAAGTCTGAGAAGAACGCAACATGAAGGACAGCATCAACATTGCCTGCCTTCTCCGCCACGGCTTTATCATCCCATTCTGCCATCTGATGCTTTGGCAAGGTCCTCGAAGCAATAATAGTACTAATAGTACTGATAATTATTATAGTATTAATACTAGTAATGATAATAGTAGTAGTAACATCATAAGACTACTAAACTTTCAGCGCACCCGCAACCCCCACCCACTCAGTCGTCTACCCCTGTGTTGTTTAACACCCGCGCATGCAACCTTTGGCTTCGAAGCGTACTTCATGGCTCTCTTGGTCCTCCATGAGCTGGGTGACCATGTTGCTGGCATGATGAGGACGTCCTCAGCCGTTTATTGCGGACTTCACTGAAGATCTGGATATGAGTTCATAGGCGTGACCATGCTAAAGCACGCAGCGATGACGAGGTAGTGAAACTGTGTCTTGAGAATGTTGAGCGATTGATAAGCGCACATGTACTCGTGCGGCCAAATTTCAGGCACATGTAGCTGGAAACAAACAGTCTCGGCTCAACACAAAATCGCGTAGCAGCGGGGGCGGCAGGTCTTGACTTCAGCGCTCCTACTTGAACCAGAAAGGCAGAAGCAGATACACACCTTGGCGAGCGCAGCCGGGATCCTTATCCAATTCCAAGAGCCTTTGCATTGGCATTGCATGCCAGAGGACATCTGTTAATAACCCTTGGAGCTGAAGATAGCTGAAGCCTTGTTAGTGCACAGTAGACAGGTTGACCCACTGTGCCGCTGGGCGAAGCATTTTTTTCAAAGCCTGCGAGCACGCCCTCCAA